CTATTGAAAATATTTTTACCCAGTCCAGATGACCACCAGAGTTTGGGCATTAACTATCAAGCCTTATACTGGATTCACATTAAGTAAGTAAACCAAGTCCCTTCGACAAGACGTACCAAACTTCATGCTTCTACATGCTATTCCTGAGAAAACCATGTGACGTTTGATGAATTAAATTACCAACATGAGGTAGATAATTCACTTGGAAATAATGAAGTCAGGGGCCCAATTTTATAGACTGTATACAGATGAATATAAGTATTTCTCTCCATGTAATTACAGCAAACTTGGTGGATGCTGACTGCTCAGGCAATAATTTTCTTCTGACATCCCCTTGGGTTTTAACGCTTGTGTCGAAATAATAATGAAAACTCTGATCATTTGACTTCTCTGGGGTTTTTGTCTAAGTGATGTCAATACAACTGATTTTATAGGCTTTTTAGCAGTCCTGGAGGTGTAGTGAAAATGACAAAATGCATTTTTTCAAGACATGCACATTGTGGGTGAAGGATCTTGTGTCTCAGCTAAAGAAGGGACAAGAGAAATCTAGAGCCAGCAGATAGAGGATCTGACACTGTTATTCCTCCAAACTGATCATGATGAAAGCGTATTTTGTTGTGCGACCTTGATTGTCTTCTGACCTCCTCCACTGGTTTGCCCAACTTTGGGTGAACTTGTGTGAAGTCATGGATATTTGCTTGGCTTAGTGCTTGCTTTCAACCCCAGTGGTAATTTTGGTGTGGGTACAATGGATGGTGGACAGTTTCATGTCATGAAGAAAGTTCTACAAAAATGAATGTGTGTTATGATTCAAACTTGAGTGAGCAAATGGGCTTGAGCCAGAGGAAGTTCATGTCAGTAACACGCAAAGTCAAACCTAGGCAGTCGTGTGCTGATAAATGTTTAACAAAAAGCTCTCTGTTGAGAAAAAGGACTGAGGCATAGCATTTGCCAATTTTCATGGTGTAAATATTCCTGCCAAAGTTTATTTCCAGCTACCAACATGGCCTCACTGAACATGGAATTGAGAAAGGATGAGCCTGCTAGCTCTTCCAAGCAGGTGTAAGTACACCTCTAACTGCCATGGGAAGGTGTCAAGGCCTTGGAAGCTCTATCTGTCTCCATCCTAGTCTCCTTTGAAACCCTAGAATCAGACAGGACTAGGCCAGGCTGAGTTATCTGTCTCCTGAGTGAGGAGCTACATACAACAAAGTCCAGTCCTGGGACTAAGTTAATGAAAAATTTTCAAGTAGACATGCACACTAATCCTCCGTCTTTAAACACTGGGGCTACTTGGCAATAAAAACTGAAGGCTCTTCCAGACTGTTCCTTGTTGGACTCTTCCCTCACCTGTGGAGCTAGAAGGAAGGAACCATCCGAGTATTTCTCCAAACTCTTTCCACCCTGAAGGAATCACTTAGAAAAGAGGATTCGAAAATGACTGCTCAGCATGAACAAGTCAATTTGAAAAGGTGAACAAATCTGGGGTGGGCAGAAAGCATGGCCCACTCTGCTAGGCTTTTATTAAATCAAGATGGAGACTGCAAATGGATTGGAATATATACTAGAGTTACAGTTGTCAATAAAAATGTCACTCTCTCCCATCAACATTCTTTAGGGATATGGAAAAAACAAATCACTAACTTTATATGGAAAGGAAAGAGACCTCGGATAAGCAAAGCACTATTGAAGAAGAACAGAATAGGAGATCTCACACTGCTGGATCTCAAAACTTACTATACAGCCACAGTAGTCAAAACTACCTGGTATTGGTTTAATGACAGATACATAGACCAATGGAATAGAATTGAGAACCAGACATAGATCCATCGACCTATGGTCAGCTGATCTTTGACAAAGGGCCAAAATCCATTAAATGGGGAAGAGAATGTTTAATGTTTAATAAATGGTGCTGGCAAAACTGGATATCCATTTGCAGAAAAATGAAACAAGATTTGTACCTCATACCATACACAAAAACGAACCACAGATAGATCAAAGACTTAAATGTGAAACCCAAAACTATAGAGTTCCTCAAGGAAAACCTAAGGGCAAATTTAGGGGCCCCACATAACAATAACAATATATAGCATAAATAGACTATCAAGCCTAACTCAAAATGCACAAATAGCAGAAGAGAAACCAGATGATTAGGACCTTTTAAAAATTAAATTTTTATGTGCTTCCAAAGAGTTCTCCAAAAGGGTCAAAAGAGAACATACAGATTGGGAAAAAAATATTTGGTAATGACATATCTGACAAGGGACTTATCTCTAAAATTTAAAGAAAATTCCAACACCTCAATAACAAAAAGACAAACAATCCAATTAAAAAATGGGCAGAAGACATGAATAGACACTTCACCAAGGACGATATTCAAGAGGCCAACAAACATATGAAGAAATGCTCATGATCATTAGCTATTAGAGAGATGCACAACCATGAGGTACAATCTTGCTCCAGCACTAGTAGCAAAGTTCAACGAGACAGAAAGTAACAAATGCTGGCAAGGATGTGGAGAGATTGGGACTCTCATACACTGCTGGTGGACTGTAAAATGGTACAACCATTGTGGAAAGCAGTATGGCGATTCCTTCAAAAGTTGGAACTAGAAATACCATTTGACCCAGCTATTCCAT